GCAATGCGGGCCAGCTGTACTTCTGGAAAACACTGTTCCAAGCTGTTGTGCTTCTGAAGGGAAAGCGACCCTTACCCCCTTCAGTTCGCACATGTGGCAAATGAACCCCCCCCCCCCCCCCCGTCAGTAGCGGTGTTGCTTTTTGAGTTGGCTCGTCAGTAGCAGGCAATACACTTGCGTGCGCATGCTTGATGCTGTATGAGCTCACCCACGTAGGCCCAACCAGCATTTTAAAGTCAACCCGACCGGGTCACCGACGGGGAAGCTGGGTGGGCAGTAGCAAAATACCCAGCGCGGCCCCAGATGGTTCTTGCAACAGAGGTCTGTCCGCGGCCTGGCTGGGCAACAGCTGGGCACCAGCTGGTAAAATATCAGTGTATCGGTGTGGCCTGGACATGTGCCGGGCTCCAGCTGGGACCTTGCCTGGCCACATCTGGTAGACACGCTGCATACCAGGTGGGCACAATTCCGTGCCAGGGATGGGCCCAGCAAGAAACCTTGCGCAGTAGAGCGGGGTACATGTGGCGCGCAGTGCGTCCCACGCAGTAGCATCGTTTATTTAGAATTGTTAGCATTGGGGGCGTCCAAAATTTACGGCAACTGATTTAAAGTTCAATATTTGGACCATGACACCGCCTGGCCGAAGCACACGTCATTCAGAGTGAGAAGTTAGCCTTTGGCACTGTGCTGTTTCAGTTTGGACAGCTCCTACCTTAACATGACTATTAATCGGTCGGAGCCCTAATAACCCGAGCCTTTTTGTTACCTGAAAAGGCCACACAGCACAGAAGAAGGTACGCAATGCTTAGTCAATTCTGGAAAGCTATTCGCTTTCACCAAGGTTAGTTGCAATGCGTGAGCTTGGCCAGTAATTTTCACTGTATTTTAGAGAGTAAACCTGACATGCTGCTTCCTATTCCGAAAAAGAAATGCGGTGATACCTGCTTGCGAATAACAATCATGCCAATTTGGATTGCATTTGTTAGCAATGCCACCGTTTTGTAGCGTCTACAGTGACCTGGCTGGTCTTGCAACCTGGTTTCCAACAGCATTTGCTTATAAATCCTCCAAGGGCACAGGAATTCATAGCTGGATGATTTGGGCCAAAAGATAAATACACCAACTCTCCGTAACACTCTTTATGTTACCCTCATCCCACCCCACGCTCATAAGTCGTACCCAGTTGCGGGTAAGACTTCGTGGCATCCTGTCTAAACCGAGATATTTTCTTTTAGAGGCTGCGCAGTACCTTTTTAAGATACACTATCGGCTATTCGATTAAACTGCTTACAGGCTAGTTAGGCTCAGGCAATATTCAAACATGCCCAATCTATGAAAGTGTCCGCAGGTAAGAGGGTATTGGAGGCCTTACAGCTCGGTAAAGGCCAGCTCCCCTGGCAAAGCAGAGGCTCCACTCGCCAAATGGTTTGCAGCATGATCTGATGTCAAGGAGAGGTGCCATACGGTGCCGTCACAAGGACGAGGCGCCTCCCTCCCCGGCCTCGTGACTCTTAGAACCATTTGTAGATGGCAGCGTCACTTTTTTAGAGCTGCTGTTGTGGCTGCTTGGCATTTTTAATAGCGACTGAAAATAACAAATCAATAGACTATGGTAGGGATGTCTACTCAGTGCATGATCACTTTTCTGAACTAACCCTGAAACCGAGTACCGCTTTTACTTCTATCGCCTTTAGCCGAGAAACCATTGTTTTAAACCCACAATTTTGACCGAGAAATAGATTTCACTTTCGCCTTGTCCTTCACGATAAACTGGTAGGGTCAAAGTAACCAGATTCAATGATAATATGCGTTGAGCAGCCCAATTAGAAAGCACAGATTAGGAGATCTACTTAACACCGTCAGGAGAGATCAGCTGCATTCATGACATCATCACATACAAAAAAAACTCAATTATTTTCTCTCACCAGATCGCAGCCGCGCAAGCCAGTAAGCAAAGAAAGGCGTGGTTCACACAATTACTCACGAATACTAAAAAGTGACAACCGATACGTGAAATATACATCAGCTTTCAATGTCTGATAATATACATCAACTAATATAAGTTATATCACTTTTGGTCATTTTGAGGGGAACGCCCGTCAACAAACGGCCATGGATGGAACAGATTTCGTTCGCCGCAATGACGGACAAGGCTGATTCATGAGCAGTTTAATGCCTGGAAGCAGATGTCGTATTCGACGGACAAGGCCAATCCATGAACAGTTTGATGCCTGGAAGCAGATGTCGTCTTCAGCGGACAAGGCCGATCCATGAACAGTTTGATGCCTGGAAGCAGATGTCGTCTTCGGAGTCGGGGATGTCTCATTAATTGGACCTGATGGGAGTCAGCTTAGCCATAGACGACTGAAAATAACTGCACCGAAAAAGAAGTGCGCTAAGTAGGCCCCGAAAGTACATGATGGAGTTGAGCGGATACTTTCGAAATTGAAATAGCATGCCACTGCGCATGGAATACGCCATTGGACGCACAGCTCCCGCCCTTATTGCATGACCTCCTCCGGCGTTGCAAAACACCGATGCTCAGCCGGATTTAATGTCACTGCAGGGACAGCCCCCGACCGGCGACATCTGACTGATAAGGCCGCGGCTGGCGTCTCGTCAGCAGACAAGTCAACCCAGACACAGCCCCGCCGTGTGAGGGGCGGCGCACGGGCTGGCTTTTCCGGCAGTCTGTTTAGGTAAAACATTCAGTAATGTGGCGTCGCAGCGGGGTGCTCGCTGTCGGTGACATCGATTGCAGGTTTTGCACCGCTTTCAGAATAACATTTGCAATCTCTTTTCGTCGACCTGTCGGCAAACGATAGGTTTCGCTCCTATTCATTCGTCGCCGGCTGGGTGGCTCGGTTTGGAATGCCTTCAAAAGTCGCAACTAACCGCGGCGCCCAGTTTGAGCCCGGTCTCTGGCGACACCTGTCGGCACTTCTTGGCTGCACTAGGCATCGCACCACTAGCTACCAGCCGCAGAGCAACGGCATGGTAGAAAGGTTTCACCGATAACTGAAGACAGCTCTACGGGCGGCAGACGCAGTAACTCGCTGGACCGATCTCCTGCCACTGGTTTTGCTGGAAGTGTGTTTAGCTATAAAAGAGGACCTGGGTTGCACGTGTGCGAAGCTCATTTATGGTAACATGCTCCGGCTCCCAGGGAGTTCCTCAGTCACCAACCCTGCAAGGTACCGCTGTGTGTGTGTGTGTGTGTGTGTGTGTGTGTGTGTGTGTGTGTGTGTGTGTGTGTGTGTGTGTGTGTGTGTGTGTGTGTGTGTGTGTGTGTGTGTGTGTGTGCGTGCGTGCGTGCGTGCGTGTGTGTGTGTGTGTGTGTGTGTGTCCCTGTCTCTGTGTGCGTATTTCTGTATCTTTGGGGGTGTATCTCTATGTCTCCCTGTGTCTGTGCCTGTATCTGTCTCTGAACCGACGTCCATTCACCGTTCACGACGATTCCGTCACTACATGTCATTCATCCGTCGTCAGCAAAGATACCATCACCATCTGACGTTCATTTGTCATCAGCGACCATTCCTTCACTACATGTCGTTCATCCGTCGTCAGCGAAGATACCGTCACCATCTGACGTTCACCTGTCATCAGCGACCATTCCACCGTTCACGGCGATTCCGTCACTACATGTCGTTCATCCGTCGTCAGCGAAGATACCGTCACCATCTGACGTTCATCTGTCATCAGCGACCATTCCTTCAACCAGTGAAGCCTCACTGTCGTTAACAACGATCCCCTCACCAACTGACGTCCATTCGTAGTCAGCGACGATCCTGTGTTCCAGGCAAGCCTATTCATCGTCAATGACGATCTTTTAACCAAGCAACCGCTAGTTGCCGTCAGCGACGATCTTATAACCAAGTGAAGCCTCATCGTCCTAGACGATGGTACTGTCACCAAGTGACGTCTTAATGTCGTTCACGACGATCCCGTCACCAAGTGACGCCTGCGTGTCTGTCTGTGTCTGTGCCTGTGTCTGTGTCTGTGTCTGTGTCTGTATCTGTGTCTGTGTCTGTGCCCATGTTTGTGCCTGTGTCTGTGTCTTTGTCTGCGTGTTTGAAAGACACGAAGCAATGCAGAAGCGACAGTAGCAGCCACCCAAGAAGTTAGCTAGGAAGTAACCGGCATAACCCTTTATGCCACATGTACACAGTCCAGACAGACAATCATGCATAAAAACTAGTTAGTACTCCTTTTCCAAGCCCAAGAAGATGCCGAGGGTGTGTTGTCTGCGATTGAAGGCTCTACCAATATCTACGTCTTAAAGTACCGGGCGATTAATTAGGCTTCCGTCTTGGAGCAAACCGCTCTGTTCATTCTCTAGCAGATCAAGCAGCTCCAGGAACCACACACGTCTGTTGCTGGCCATTTTTTTGAAAAGCTTGCACAGAAACAATTTCAGTGAGATAGAATGGTAATCAGATGGACAATTGCCACATTTTCAAGCCTCAAAAGAGGGATAGAGGTTGATTCCTGCCATTGGCCTGGGAAATTGTGACTGGTTCATATATAGTTCAGCAGTGCAAGGACCCGACCTCATTTCAAAGCTCATGAATAGGTAGAGCGCCGTCCGCTTAGTTCAATTTGGCGTGTCAAAAAAGCTTGATATTATAAACCAAACATCCTGGGTTTGAAAAACTGAGCAGGATACGGAAATCTCAAGATACTCAAACTTGTTGAGCAATAACTTGGGCTGGCAAACGTAATATGATCACATAACACCTAGCGAAGTTAAGGTAGGAACATTCCGCGGCCCATGCAAATCTCCTAGCATTGCAACTATGGTCTGGCATTGCCGATCTACCGATCAGCTGAGTTTAGTTAAAGTTACAGTGCAGTTTAGAGTACTGCTGGACATGTTTGCTGAGAAAACACACATTGGGTTATTACGTTCATGCAGGCATTCCGGAGGGTTGCAATTGGACCCTCTTCGGAAGAGAAACGTGCCGAAATAATCTGGAGAGCATGCCGCAACTTCCAACATGTTCAACCCAAAGCCGATGATTTATTTTCGGTAGGCCCAGTTCCTGTGTATACAAAGTTGCCGACCATGGTCCGCCAGCCTGCCTACCGCACTCCTGACATATGCCATGCCGCCTAGTCATTAATCAAACCAGTAGTCATAGTCATGACTCACTGCCATATGCTACGCTGTGATTACTTGCTGTATGCGGGACGCATGAACTTTTACTAAACCGCTCATATTTCGCACAATTAGTTGTGCGGCGAGCTGTATTTTGTAACAACACATCCCCGCGTCCAAAATACTTCAACTCTTGAGTCGCAAGGTTCCATGCAACCAACGTATTTTCATCTCCATGCAAGCGCTTACAGGTAGATAAGGCAGCACTTGTCATCAAACAGAAATACTTGAGGTCATCGAAATAGCTAAACGGGTGAAACCATGCACACCAACGCGATGAACAGCGAGCGCATCGCTTATTACATATATGAACCAATTACCGCACTGCGCATCTCATCTTATATCATCCAGAGAAAGTCCACGCAGTTGTCGCACAGGTCATAACATCATTCAGATAGGATGCCGGTAACGTATTGGGTAACGCGTCTGCGTTAACCACTGCACGTCTGGGGAGCCAGAGGTGCGCGGTTCGATTCCCCGCGGTGCCCGCCCTTCCTGCCAGGGTGAGAGGCAGGCGCGCGCCATATAACCTCAGCAAAGTGCGTCGTCGAGTGCGTCGCAAAGTCTCAACGACAACAATATCATACATATTATATATATTATTCCGCGGTTGCCTTAATACATGTTAAGACATCGCATTTCGATCAGAAACGTGCTCGATTGGAGAGCCACCAGCAACGCTGTGGTCCTACTGGAGTTATTAGAGTCACTGCCGCTGGCTGTTGTCCACGATCCAGGGGATGTACTTGGACACCTTGGTGTAGATGCCCGGATACTTTGGGTTTCCGCAGCCCAGGCCGGTGGAGACGACACCGATCACCTGGTAACGATCGTCGGCGCCCTGGATCACCAGAGGGCCGCCAGAGTCGCCTTGACAAGCGTCCTTGGACGTGCCGTCGCGGCCGTTGGCGCATACCTTGGTGCCCTGGAAACCGCCGGGGAACAAGGTATCGAAAGACGGCGCCTCGCGGTAGTTGCGCTCGCACTGCGCCGGGTCCACCACCTGCAGACGCACCTCCTGCAGCGCCTCTGGCACGCTGCCGGCGAACTGGACCCGGCCCCAGCCGGCCAGGTCGGCCTCCTGACCCGTGTGGTCGGCGTCGGGCGGCGGCAGGCAGGCGGGCTGCACGCGCGCGCCCAGCGCCGCCGGCCGGGACAGCAGCAGCAGCGCCACATCATTCTGCGAGCGCCGGTAGGCCGGGTGGAGCACGACACGGGACACGCCGAGGTCCTGGTGGCGGCCGTCTCGGGTGTGCGAGATGTTGTACTCGCCCAGCCGCACGACCAGCTGGGGCGGCTGTCGGCCGTTGACGCAGTGCGCCGCCGTCAGCACCGTGCTGGGGGCGATGAGCGTGCCGCCACAGGTCCAGCGCGTTTCGCCTTCCTTCCGCTCGCCGAGCAGCGCCATCCACGGCCACTTGCTCGGAGTGGCTGGCACACCGCCGACCACTGGCATGATGGGGAAATCTGGCGCAGCTTCTATGACCGGTTGCATCCGCCGAACGCTGCGGATGGACCTGCTGAAGATGACCCCGCCGGGCTGCACTCGGCCGCATTCTTGCACCAGCTGCTGGAAAGTCTCCGACGCGTCCGGGGCCGCGGTGGTTGTCAGAATCAGCTGGTTGCGGGGGCAGCAAACCTGTCCGTCGCAGCTCCGCGTCCGCTCCGCGTTGGCTTGTCGGCACTTGTCAGGTGTCACGCACGTTCCAAAACCAAAGTCCCGACTCGCACAGGTACCCGCAAAGCTAAAATCGATAGCCTGTCCCTGGACTAGCGCCAGCATCACCGCGGTGGCGGCGATTGAAGCGAACAGCATCTTGCGGCCGCTACTCAGCCCCGCCGAATCGCGACTGACTGGGCTGGGTCCCGCTGGGAGGCACGCTCTCCTCCGAAAAAACCCGGGCGCAGCACCCACTGACGTCATCAGTGCTCAGTGCCGAGCGCCGCAAGCAGCTAAGACCGGTTTGAGCGCTGCTCTCTGTCACTGCACTCAGGCGCTCGCCTTGTGGGGCGTCACCGGTGTGGGGCGACGTTTCTTCCGGGGCGTTGTGGTCCAACTCGTGGGCGACATCGCATCGCTATGCCTAACATCGCATCGTTAAGTGCGAGCTAGTCCAGGCTTGTGCACACTGAGGCGCTGACCAAGCATTGCCATGCGCTGTTGCGATGCAGATCGTCAAGACTGACACGGATTAGCAGAGCTTATAGACAGATGCAGTCAAGTAAACTTGATTCTGTGTAGGGATTCAGCGCTCTTTGTGGAACCGGGCGCGATCTTGTCCTGACCTGTCTCCACCCCGCGACCACTTTGTGTAGGAGATATCCTTCTACCACGTAGCAAACCCGACCCGCGGCTCTGCTCGCCTTGGGTCTGACCCTTTCCAGCCCTTTCGACGAATTATGCCTGGAAATCTCCGCCGTGCAGCACCCTTGCGCATTAAAGGCCTGCACCAAGATAAGATGCAGTTGTTTGTTCTGCGCTGGTGACAGCGCTACTCGGAATTCCGTGTTTGTCCAGCACTCGCACAAGTTTTTCAAACCCGAAGGAAGGCAGTCATTACAGCACACCGCTCTTTCTAAGAATCATGTGGTGCTGTGGAGAAGTTAATCGATTACCAGAGAGTGTTTTTCGTGGTGGCTTAGCAAACTAGATTTGTATTTCTCTCAGAGGCTCACGTTTGATCGAAGTTTGTGCAAAGCGTCCCTCACGCGATCCCTTTGCAGAGGGATCTTAATCTTTGGCTCTTCTAACCAGAGAAAGCGTTCCGTTTGGCGTTGGACAAGTGAGCCAGTGGGGATATTGAGCTAGATGATACAGAAACCTCAGCCATGGATAGCTAGATGATACAGAAACCTCAGCCATGGATAGTGAGACGCCTTTAGAAACCATATAGGCAACTGGGTCTGGTCATTCCACCGTCGCCGTGCCCACCACTGCGCGCCCAACTCAGGCGGGGCAGCCACGGTCGGGGACTCTGATCCATCATCCCATTCCGCGTACCCGATATGTCTATGGAGAGTTCAGTAAGTGAAGGTGACGCAGTGGTCTGTCGTAGACTGTTGGCTCTCACCCTGATAGGAGGGGGGGGGGGGGGGGGGAGTCGATGCGAGTCTCCAAAGGCGTTTTTAGGACACCTCTCTGGAACGTCGTGCAATGGCGCCCAAATTTTCAGTAGCCTTTAGAACACCCGTCGTGGATGTTTTCACAGCAAAAACGCGTCGCTAAAATTTATGGCATCGGGGCAGGGACGGTTTTTAAGAAGTACTGCATGACAATCTAGGGCCGGCGAGGCCGGCTGGCGACAACCAACGACGGTGCCGCGGAACGCGTACCGCACATGATGTAACGAGCATCACATCTGATGAAATAAGTTCACTTATAACTCTTGGTTTACTCTAGGCGGAAAAAGTGCTCTAAACAACGACATTTTTATTAAATAAATATATTTCCCAATACGTCGCTGTTTGATTGCGTCAGGGAGCGTTTGTATGGGGTTGAGGCAATACTAAGCTGGCCATGCGGTACTGTCAGCCTCGCACTCACTCGTGGTGCTTAATCTCCCGATAGGTGGGTGGGCGGTTGCGGAAACTGCTGCTGAACCCAACATTATGTGCTCACGTCTTGACTTTTTTCCGTTGCGTACTTACATATCTATCCGTGGTACTGAGCTACTAACATGTGCTCACATTCTCGGTTATGGTGCTGTTCCTTAAGTTATTCAATGATAAGCCTTATTTCCGGAAAACCGTACGGATGTCGAAGTTCTTGCATCCCGGAGCACAAAACGTGATTCGTCATTAAAACTTGAACATTCTGCACAACATTGGTTGAGAGCCATTTGCAAATCTATTGCTGTCGACATAATTTGGAATTATCGCTAAAGACCAACTTGGGTGATAATCATTTCCATGTGCAATATATGTTGTCAGTTTCACCACACATGCAAACACGCTTAAAACAATATGAATGCTCGTAGATAATGCAGGTTTTCATTTCATTCATGTGCCCCAAGTTTAGTTTGAAATACCGTCTTTGTGGACGAATTGGATAAAAGGGCGAAATCAAACAAGGACATATCGAACAACATATTTATTCAACTAGATAACTTGCGTTGTCTAGAGCAAGCTTTTTTGCTTACAATTATACCAATAGTCATGTGTGAGCTTATTTCGTCATACCTGATAATTGCTTCAACGTCTTCAAAGGTGGAACATTCCCTTTAGATAAACCAATGTTTCAATCTACGTCGGATTAGGTCTGTTTTCCTCTCAAAGTTGGAGAGTCTGGAGCTCCCAACTAATAAGAAACTAACCCCTGAGACAGGGCCTACTTTGTGTGCGTGTGTCATGTCATTGAGGCTTTAGACTCACCCAGCTGCTGAGGCTATATGGCGTCGCCTGCCTCTCACCCTGACAGGAAGGGCGGGCACCGCGGGGAATCGAACCCCATACTTCTGGTTTCCCAGACGCCCAGCGGTTAACACAGACGCGTTAACCACTACACTACCGGCGCCCTACACTACACTACAGGGCCTACTTTAAAAGCAAATCACGGGAGAATGCGGGTCAGTTGAATTCCGGGTGACATAAACACAAAGTATGCGTATTTCGCCGATCTTGCTGTCATATACCGACAGGTGCATTCAGATTCCATATTCCAGTTGTTGTTTTGTTCTAGCTATGGAGTGAATCAAACTGTTACCATAAAACAGCAAAACAAAACAAAACAAAACAAAAATGTGTGCGAAACATGGTTTGGCCCCAGACTGCAGAATGGGATCGGTTACAATACCGAGGTGCTCAACTTGTCGAGAGGAGTTGCTCACTTGCACTCATAGTCTTTGAACTGCACTATGCAAACTCAACCTGGTTATCCCAGCTCAAAAATCCAAGGCGGACTCGGCGACGGAGTGCGTGATTTTAGCCTCATAACTTGCCAGAGGCAAGCGGCATCGCTGTGCATAGAGACAGAGGTGTACGCAAATAGAAGCACCTTGGGCGCTTATCCGGTTTGCAAAATTTATTACATGTATTGGTACGTACGTGACAAAATGTTTACGCTAAACATTCCTGGTGTGCACATAAAAATTACATCTAAAACATGCCATGTTATTTTACGAAACAAAAGAAGTTTTGCACGCCTGTGGCTCGCTGAACTATTGTTTTAAGAACAATTTTTAGCAGTGCCCCCCTCCCTTGTTTAGAACGCGTAGAAGTAAGCTGTACGTTTGGAACCATCGCAAAAATCAGGATGACACGTCTCCGTCGGTTTACGTCACCAATGCCTGGGCGGACAGGGAAAGTTTACGGCAATCTTTTAGGGACCATGTGCGCGTCAAAAAGATTTACCCATCAACAAAATATCTGCGCTTCTTAACGCTAGGCAGGAGTGCCTTTTCTACGAACACATCGCTGGGGGGGGGGGGGGGGGGCGTTTGGGATTGTGGTGGACATTTGAGCCAGTCGTATTCCGGGGACCATGAAAGCCAGATCTGCGTTTTTCGCCGATCTTCCTCCATTCCGACAGTTGCACACGATTTCATTTCAAAGTTTTTTTAAAAGTTAGAACGAAGTGACCTTCGTTAGAATCAAGTTTAGGTCCTGGACTGCAGAATGAGGTCGGCGACAATATAGGGGTGCACAGCATTTCTGCACTGTCTCCGTATTCAAGAAAGGCTGTCCTGTGATTTGCTTTCTAGAAAAATTATGTCTGTCTGTCTGTCTGTCTGTCTGTCTGTCTGTCTGTCTATCTATCTATCTATCTATCTATCTATCTGTCTGTCTGTCTGTCCGTCTGCCTGTCTGTCTGTCTGTCTGTCTGTCTGTCTGTCTGTCTGTCTGTCTGTCTGTCTGTCTGTCTGTCTGTCTGTCTGTCTGTCTGTCTGTCTGTCTGTCTGTCTGTCTGTCTGCCTGCCTGCCTGCCTGCCTGCCTGCCTGCCTGCCTGGCTGCCTGTCTGTCTGTCTGTCCATCCGTCTGCCTGTCTGTCTGTCTGTCTGTCCGTCCGTCCGTCTGTCTGTCTGTCTGTCTGTATGTCTGTCTGTCTGTCTGTTTATTTGTCTGTCTATTTCTTCTTTTGTTTGTTGGCCCATGTACTGGCTAAACACTTTAATTGGAGGGGTTTCCGAGATAGGGACTCCCGCTAAGCAGTGCTTGTTGGGCAAACCCTTTTTCCTTAAATTACGTACCAATGCAACTAAATGAGCCGCCTTGGATGTCGAAGACGATTCAAAACCCTGCTCAAAACCGGCTCACCTCACTTATCCAGGACCGAAGGCACAGGGTAACGCCGCCGGACAGAACGATTAATGATTGAAAATCAATACTTTGCGGCATCCCACTGGTTACGCTGACTGGACCTATTGCCTTCTTAGTCACGATCAACGGTACCACCGCTGAAACAGAAAATAGTCTGAAATAAGTGGACAAGTTCACAATGTGCCAGGCGTATACAGCTGACAAGTGGTGCGGCAGTAGTGCTCGTACGGCTCGCTGCATGACTGGGAAAACGTGTGGATTGGCAGCTGTAGATGAATGGTGCTTAAAGTGCATTCGAAGATATTGAATGCAAGCATAAAAAATATTGAATGCAGCAAGCAAATGGTGCATTTAGAGATATTGAAGCAAGCGTCAAATATGATAAAAGAAGGTCACATATAACTGTTGGTATACTTTTAAGTGGAAAGACCACTCTTGACAACACGATTTCTTTGCTTGGTAAACATAGTCCTCAATACGCCATTGTTTAATTACGTCATGGTATCTTTCAGAACATTAATTGGGAGCCAACTAACGGTCGTTATATCTGGAAATGTCGCTCAAAAACGCTAGAT